AAGAAAGAAGCGAAAGCTCTCATTCCTCTCCACAATCAGACCCGTCACATCAGTACTCCGCCAACTCCGGGGCGCTTGGGGGATTTGAGCGGAGGGGAGAATCTCTCCGAATTCGTGGACCCTCCAGGGCAGCAGCCCGCTCCCACCCCCACCCCGGGCTCCAATGATCCGCAGCCCCGCGCATTTCGAAAGGCTTCTCCGCTCGCCAGCGGCCCAGGAGGGCCGCAGCCGCGCGCACGAGAGGTCGAGCGCTACAGCCGCTCGCGGGGGTCGCTTTCTTCCCTTACACCCGCTCTGCCAACTCCCCCCGTCGCATCCCCGCTGCCCAGTGCGGGGGACCAGAGCAGAGAAGAACTAGGAGAATGTAGGTCCAGGGGCATGACTGAGGGACGGAGGGGACCGTGGAAATCAACAGAAGAGGAGCGGGACGGGCGGCCTTTCAGGCCACCGTGCGCCCACCGTCCTGGCCGCGCGCAGCGACCTTTCCCGGCGGCCGAGGAAGGCTGCCTTCGCCATTTCATCTTCATCCCCGTGAACGTAGACACTTGTCCTTCTGAAGCCTTTTTGAATTGAAAAAGGTGATTTAAAACTCGCCTAGAATCTCCGATCTGTTTTTCAGAGTATAAATTTCTTTTTTTTAAGTTTGCCATCTCTTTCACCTGGGCCACACCCTACGCCCGCTCCCCTCCCTCCCGGCCAAAATTAAGGCAAAACTCCTGCGAGCAGAGCTGGGCGAGGGGAAGGGAAGAGTCCACGGTCACGCTAGAAACATCCCCCCTTCGGGGTGGTCACCGCCTGGATCTCGGCTCGCGTGGGGGGTGGGGCGGGGTGGGGTCAGCTCCGGCCAGACCCGGCAGAACCGAAAGTGTAGCATTTACACGTAAACTCAAGTCGCCGTGCGGCTGCCCGCGTACCGGGCCTGTCTCGCGTGGGGTCACACACAGCGAAGGCAGGAATCAGCAAGCGAAAAACACAAAAAACATTCGAGGCGTGATGGGCGCGAAACGTCGACGCGCCTCAAAGGGAACGTGAAGAAAAGGCAGGGAGAAGGGCGCGCAGCCGGGACGCGGGGACGGGGGATTGCATCATTGCAGCTCCCCCCCCCAGAAAATGGGCTCCGAACCGCGGCCACCATCATGGCGCTCGGGCCGGGCCGCGCTTCCCGCGCGCCTTCCCCGAGCGCTCGGGCCACGGGCGCTGAGCCTCGAGCGAGCGTCTCGCAAACAGTCCCCTTTCTCTCCCGAGCGCCTGTCCCCCACCCCCGCCTTCCTTTTGTGTGCTTGTGGACGTGTGTGCGTGCGTCCCTGTGAGTGTGTGTGCGGACCAGGGAACTTGAAGATTTTTTTTCCTTTTTTCCCTCCCGTGCTGGTGGTTGTAAACTTGATTGGCATTGGCTGCGCCCACTGACCCCTGCGCCGAGTCCACTGAAAATTTAAGGTGGATCCGAGAAGCTACAGCTTCGGGCGGAGTCTCGCGCTTTAGCTAGTTTTGGAGAAAAAGAAAAAAAAAAAAAGGCAAACCGTGCGCCCGCCGTGTTTTTACGAATCCCCTGCGGTACCAGCCCCCGCGCCCGCCCCGCCCGCCGCGCGCTGGCTCCGCCCACCTCCCGCTTCTTCCCCATTGGCCCGCGAGGGCAGTTTGAATTTTTTTTTTGGATGCCTGTTTTCTTGTAAAAAATACTGTGCCCCAGATTGTGTGACGAAACCTACTTCGGCAGCCCGAGGTGGGGTGTTGTAGCCGGTTTTGTGGAGGCTGGAGGGAGGAGAGTGGGTGGAGCTTCTGGTCCCAAATTTTTCCCCCGAATTGCGGTTGATAGGGTGCGGGCGGGTCGCGCAGCGTGGAGCCCCGGTCAGCAAACCGGAGATGCTCCGGCGAGGGCAGAGTGTAGTATAAAACGTTAATGGATGTCCGGGGCGCGTCGTTTCACCGGCTGCTGGCCAGAGGTACTAGGAGGCGCTGGCAGGAGCCCTGGCGAGGATGCACCTTTCCCCTGCCCTGGAAAGGTAGAACTGGGGAGGGCGGGAGGGTGAAGGTGGCCCGGAAAAGAACACCTTCTCATTTCCAAGGAGGGGGAGGGGAAGAAACTAACAGAAGAAACACAAATACAGCAAAAATGTATTATTTCAAGTGCCACCCAATCAGAATTTATCGTAATTCAGGCAGTCAGTGTCATTTTTACTGAATTAAATTTTTTTTCCCTGTCTGTGGTTTCCAGGGTGTTTTTGAAAGAAAATGTTAAAATCGAGATAGGAACTAAGACTTTGGAAGTGATTCTGATTTCTGGGTCTGGAATTAATTTCTTTGATAAAGTACGATTTAGGATGTTCCTTGTAATACAGATCTAATGCAAGTGATATTCTTCATTAATTATAACCCAGTAATGTTTTACTGTACTGTGAAAAATTTTAAAGTTTTTAATAATTCAAATCATTCTCCAAATCACTGTATCTCCAGGTTAATGAAGTTAGCATATATACAGTTTTGGGGGGTCTGTTACTTTTGTTGCAGTGTAGCTGACAATTTTAATGAGATGTCCAGTCCCAGCCTTCAGTGTAACGGTTCCCATCCTGTCCAACCTACAGTCCATATTTTAGTTCTAAAATCCCCCAGTACTTCCTAACCCAACCTTAAGTTTACTCCAAACCAACTAAACTGCACAGACCACCATAAAGCAACCTGATCGTTCCCTTAGAGTGGAATTTTTTGAGTTAAGATTGCTCCCCCACCCCCGCCATGGACTGGCTAGCCTCTGGAAGCAGTGATCTCCTCACCCCTGGAAGTGCCAGTCAAGCACTAGTCTGGATGACCCTTGATAGGGACATCTGGAAAAGATTCAAATATCAAGTGAATATTAGGACTAGTGATTATAAAATTCTGTTCCAGACCCTTGAGATACTGTATTTCCAACCTTGGAGTTTCTGGGTTTCTACTAAATTAAGCAATTTCCCTTGCTCATTACCATTTTCTAGAGTTGTACTGGCCAGTACGGTAGGCAGAAACCATTTGCACCTACTGAGCGCTTGAATGTGACTAGTCCAAACTGAGATGTGCTGTAAATGTTAAATATACTCGAGGTTTCCAAGAATTGGTATGAAAAAGTATGTTAAATATCTCATTAATAATTTTTATTTTGATTATATGTTGAAATAATTATATTTTTGGTGTATTGGGTTAAAATACTACATTTGTTTCATCTTTTTTTTTTTAGTGTGGTTCCTAGACAGTTTTAATTTATAGATATGACTCACACTGCATTTCCATTTGGATGTTGCTATTCTAGACCAACACCTATGGTAACTCAAAGCCCCATCTTTGAGATCGGTGGCTATAATACTGAGGAGTAGGTGGTAACTTCTGGCTGCCATCCTAACTTTCCAAGTTTAATTAAGGCCCAAATTCAGCCTTGGGAACCTTTATAAAGAATTCTGCCAAAACCTAACACTTACTGTTTAATCTTTGACACTTAGTATTGGTTTTTAGCCCAGATGATGTTCATATGGTACAGATATGTCTGATTAAATAGACTTGGTCACAGCTTTCAACATATATATATAGAAAACCTGGGAAGTCCAATATGTTAGGAGTGACTCGGGGGGAAAATTTAGACCCCAGACAGAGTCTCCACCGGTAACGCTTCACTACCTCTTGTCAGCAGAGAGGAAAGCTGTGGGGAGGTGGAGCAGTGTTCTCCTTCTCAGCTTGTATCTCTGACAGAAGATGGGAACAAGTGAAAATGTGTGCCATGTTTTGGGATAGGAATAGTCACCATGATAAAAATGGCAGTAAATTTATACCTTTTATGTTAAATTTGAACCTTTATACTGAATTCTGGTAAGTTTTGATCATCCTATTTTGTTCCATTGTTTGATTAGCTTAAACACTAAGGATCATATTATTTTAATTACTGTTTAGAATAGTTTTGTTGTTGTTGTTGTTTTAAATTTGTATGAATTTTTTCTTGGAGGGAGAGTAGGTAATTAGGTTTATTTATTTAGAGGAGGTACTGGGGATTGAACCTAGGACCTTGTGCATGTTAAGCATGCGCTCTACCACTGAGCTATTCCCTCCCCCCAGAATAGATTTGATTTAGAATAGTTTTAATTACTCATAGCACTAATCCTCTATACTCCAACCAGTACCTTTACTCTTCTTTTCAGAATTTTCCTGGCTGCTTCTGCTTGTCTTTTCCCCTGATATGGATTTGTTTATTATTATTATTTTTTTTAATGGAGGTACTGGGGGTTGAACCCAGGACCTTGTGCATGCTAAGCATACACTCTACCACCGAGCTATACCCACCCGCTTCCAATATGGATTTAAAATGAATTTTGTCTAGTTGCAAATGTAATTCCTATTGGCATTAAAATATAAAGTGGGATCCATATCTCACACTTCATACCAGATAAATTCTTGAAGGATTAAAGAGTGAAATTAAAAAAAAGAAAAAAAGAAAAAAAAAAAGAAAGAAACCATAGACATACTAGAAGAGAGCTCAGAGGATTTTTAAAAATATAATCTCAGAGTGAGAAAGGTCTAAGTATGACACAGCACATAAAATCCGTAATCTAAATCTCTCCAGAATCATGACCTTGTCGTGATCCTTCTGGGTTTCCCTTTATATTCATAAATTCAATGACATAAAAATTAAAATGTTCTGCATGACAAAACCTGCCACAGAAAGTCAAAAGATGATGACATAGTGGTGATGGTTGCACAACAATGTGAATGTACTTAATGCCACTTAAAAATGGTTAAAACGGTAAATTTTGTTACATTGTAATTAACTACAATAGTTAAATAAATAAATATGTAAGTACAGCGGTCCCCCCTTATCAATGGATAATATGTTCCAAGACCCCCCACCCCGGATGCCTGAAACAGCATAGCACCAGACCCTGTATATGCTATGTTTTTTCCTGAACTAAGGGGTGGGTAGCATATACAGGATGGATACACTGGACAAAGGGATGATTTGTGTCCTGGGCAGGATGGAGCAAGACTGTCGAGAGATTTCATCATGCTACTCAGAAGGGCCTGCAATTTAAAACCTATGAATTGTTTATTTCTGGAATTTTCCATTTAATATATCCGGACCCCTGTTAACTGCTGGTAACTGAAACTGAGGAAAGTGAAAACAGATAAGGGGGAACTACTGTACTGGGATAATTTTAAAGTTCATCCATATTCCATCTAAAGGAATCTCACAATTGTAAAATGACTATCACTCAATAAAAAAAAATGTTAAAAAAAAGAAAAAATCTCACAGTGTTCTGTAGCCCATCCTTATTGAGGCTCTGGAATGAGACTGCTTGAGTTACCTAACTTATTGCATGTGAGACCCTTTTACAAGTTACCTCACATTTAATAGTTTCTGTTTCTTTAGCTATATAATGAGGATGCTTATAGCTCTCTCATAGGGTTATTAACACCATTCAGTGGGAAACTGTGTGTATAGAACTTAGCACAGTATATAATAAATAATAACCATTGTATGTATAATTAACAGAGACATACAGTTCTTATTTTGGATTCTCAAGTAACCACAACCAGCGCTATACTGACCTTGTAAATATATTTTCTCATTTTTAATTACTGCTATTGTTACCTTTAAGAAGAACAAATAATGGGGGGGGGATAGTTTAATAAACAGAAAACATACTGCAAAAAATGATTGAAATAGTAAGTTTTATGTATATTTTGGCACAATTTAAAACAAAGTTTGAAAAATAAGGCATTTATTGGGTGTACGGCCGTCTCTAATTATCTTAGAAAGGACCTGGTCTGGAATTGTTTGTGGTACTAAATCAGTAACACTCACACCCATATGCAAAGACAATGGCAAACTGGGAAAAATGCTGGCAACCCATATATCAAAGGGCTAATTTCCCTGATAAATAAAGAATTCCTTCAAATCAATGAGAAAAAGCAAACAATCCAATAGAAAAGTAAGCAAAGGATATGAACACAGGTTTTAGAAAAGGAAATACAAAAAGGTCTTAAAATGCGAAAACATGCTCAATTGTAATTCAAGACTATTGGGATGTAAGTTATGTACAGAATACATAAGTTTAGGCAAATAGACTTACAGTTAGCATCACTCAGATACAAAGTTGGCCATTATCCTTTCTTGATAGTTTAACACTTACTTCCCTCCCTTGAATCCAAAACTGAGTGATTTTTTTTCCAGCTTTATTGATGGCCAGAGAAGCAAAGAGTTTGCATGTGTGGAAGCCATGACCACCTTTCAATTTCAGTGTGAAATCCCTCTCATCCAAGCCATTTAATCGTTGGTTTAGTGGCATCACCTTACTTGCCCATAGAAATCCCCAGAATCAGCCTCTTAAAACAGGTACAACAACCTTTCTCAACCCATCTCATCCTTCCTGCTTTTAATGCTTGTATATTGTCAGATAATCTGAGTCCAGAATCACTACCTGATTCTCACTTTCCCTTCAGATTTGCTATTCTTTTAAAAACTTCAAGCAGAATTTATTATATGATAAATATGAAATGTCCGATCAGTAGAGAGGGACAATATTATGGAAAAAACGGTGTCAGGTTATAGCTACCATGTGGGAAAAATGTTACATTCCTACACACACATACATATTGTATTTTATTTTATAGATTGTAGTTTAGTCTTTGATTTAGCAGTTAGACAAATTTACTTAGGGAAATAATCACATGTGTGACTAAATACATATTTACCAGAATGGTCATTGTTAAGTTATATATTAGATTTTAAAAGGAAATGAAAAAGTAAGCTAACAACATCCCCTTAGATACAGGATTACAGGATAGATTATTTAACTGAACCAACTATAGTATGTACAAGTATAACACAGATTGCAGCCATTAAAACACCCCATGCAAATTTGTATGTATTAATAGGAAAATTCCATAATATTAAACCTGGCACAGAACAATATGGTATGATCCCATTTTTACAAAAAAATTTAAAAATTCACATATATGCCTAGATTGACCTGGAAGGTTACTGCTC